TTTAGAACAATACTTTTGTTTGCTGGATTATTAAACTGATTTGTACATTTTATTAGTCACTGGGAATTCTTTGGGAGTATAAGTATTTAATTGTGAATACTTGAATTTTTTTTTGCAATAACTTGAATAGCAATCTAGTAATCTCCTTATGACTGCCCCTTTATATATTTTACTAGTAAGATGGACAAGTTAGGCCTACCACTGCGAACTGGAAGAGAGGTGCAAAGGTTTTATGACACTGATAGAAAAACACAGTATCATTAAAAGACCAAATGAGTTTTTGCCTGTAAAGATGTAAGTATGACAGAAGTGGCTTATCTGTTTTGCAGAAATGTTCCTTCAAAGCATTGGAATAGTAGAAGTGTGACTTTGACAGACATTGCTGCCCAGTACGTCTTCAGTATTGATGCTGTGGCAGAAGACTATATAAGTAGTGTCTGTTTCATGCTAGGTAGAAGACTATATAATATAAGTAGTGTCTGTTTCATGCTAGGTAAACGGCTTCATACAGGACAGGGAAGATTCAGACTTTCCTCATATTTGAATTCTTCTATCACTTTTATGGACCAGGAGTAATTAACTTCTGTCTGTGTAAACTTGAGATAAGGCTGAATTTGCATGATGTAAAGCTGAAACACGCATTTAAGCTTGATAACTGTACAAATATCTGCCTCACAGGCAAGTGTTTTTGACAGTAATTTTATTCTCTTAAAGTCAAGCATTTATCTACCTCTTACTTCTGTGAGATAGCTGTGGTGGTCCAAGAATGTAAGCAAGGCAGATTTTGTAATGAGAGGTAAAGTCTTTTATGAAGTCCAACCTACCTCATAAAGACTTCTTCAGCAAGTTTAAGATCTGAGTTAGAGGAAAGGGTATTCCAGCCTTTTAAAAAGGAAGTAGGTAGTGCATTGTAGTTAACTCTCTGATATAATTTGGAAGATGCCATGTCAAAAAGGGCTGATTGTTTTAAATAATACCTTTAAGAATATTGCCAGAGAGTATTAGTGTGTCTGAATGTTTTAGTGTGCTGTTTTACTGTTGTAACCAAGCTGAAGCATCTTTGAGACAGGGCTGGAATGTTTGAATTTGGGTATCTCTTTGAAGCAAAAGGAATGAAAGGAGGGGACCTGGTTTTAAACAAACAGATTTTTGTTGTTGTTTCTTTGCTTGTTTGGTTAGAGCTATAAATCCTGTGAACCATTGAAAATTAGGTCAGATGTTCATCTTATAATAAATTACTAAGATGTCAAAAAATTGGCTTAGTGAGTTACTAAACATGCTTACGATACCCCTTAACCTTAGAGCAGTGATTCGGTTTTGTTCTTGAGAGAACTTCTTCAAGAGTACAGGCACTCTTTCTGCTTTTCCCAGCATCCCTGTTGTTCTTACTCAAATGTCCACTGAGTGTGTGAATTAAATCTGCCTTCCTTGCAGGAAGTTATTCAATATGTTATGTGCCAACAGCATGTGACAAATGTGACTAGCAGTAGCCGTTGTTGAATTCAGCACAGCAGCGTGCGTGGTTACAGTTTGTGGCAAGGGCTTCTGGACTTTGGCGTGCATGCCATTAGTCATAAGGAACTTATTTATGATTCTGCACGAAACTATGAGCTCTTGTAGGTGACAGTGAAAGCTGTCAAGAATATCTGAAAACGCCCTGTCTAGGAAGGAAACAGTATTTCAGTGTTTTATGGCAAAATCCAATGAAATTGTGAAATAGAAAAAGACAAGCCACTTCTACCAATTTCAGTTTTTCATTTTACAAGCAGTGGTAATACAACTGGATGTACAACATCAGTTGCTTTAGGAAGGGAAGTCCACTTCAATCTTACTTATTTTGAGATTTTAGAATGGATAAGACGTCTTTAAATGTGTTGTCCAGTTTTTAAGAGTTCAAGGTGGCATTGGTATACAGCCTCATCTGCTGTCAGGTCCATTAATACTTCACATGATACAGTTTAGAACAGTTTATATGGTGTTGCAAAACCAAAACAAACAAAACCCCAACCAAACAGGGGAAAAAAAAAGAAAAGAGAACTGGGGAAGTAGGTCGAAGTGGCAGAGGTTGGACAGATCAGAGGAGACCAAGGTGTGGGGACGAAAGTTCAGATGCTCAAGAATGACTGTTGGGAGACATCTGTCTCTTGAGATCGCATTGCAACTTAAGGATGCAATTTCAAGATTTGTCATCAAATATACATGAAACCTGATGCTAATTATGTGTCTAGATCTGGAATGAATAAAGTTGTAGACAGTGGCAGCCTGCTACTTCTGTTGATTTACTCATCAAAAATGGCAGAAATCATTGCAGCTAATTACAAGGCTCATATTAAAGTTTTTAGTCTGAAAATGGATTTGGGTTTTTTTTCCTCTGTACCTGGAAAACTAATTGGGGGAGAAAAAATCTGCAGAAATTATGCAGAAAGCTATGCTTAAACATGTCAGAATTAAGACATCCTGTTTAAACCTCTAATGAATGATGTCCTGTCTGTTCATGGGACTCTGCCTACCTCAGCAGACTGAGTGCACAGTGCACTTTCAATGTGGCTTCTCCAAATACTGATTTACCCCTACCTCTCCTCCCCTCTCCTCCCCTGCCCACCCCCTCCCCAGTTCTGTCAGTGGCCTGTATGCTGTACAACTGATTTCTGGGAAATTTCTCTAGTATACACTTAGTATTATAGCATCAGGTGAATTTTCAGAGTATTTAGTGGGATGTGGGTATATTATACATATTTCAGAGAATTGAACAGTTGAAATACAGGAAAAAATATTAGGCAACTTTTCACTTTTTTTTAAGTATCTAGGACTACTAGATTATGTTCAAAAATTATTGATTCACAGTACACCCTGAAGAGACTTCAGTTTAAGAAATTAATGCTGTTAGTTTTGAAAAAGTATTTTGTTGGTCCCAAGTTGAAAATCCAACGAAAACAGAGTCAAGTAATACTTTTGAAAAAACTTGTTTTAAATTACTTGGAGTTGTCTAAACAGGAAGTGAGACACGATCCTGTTCTTTGCATCATTGTCTGATCATCCCTGATCCATGATGATCCATACTGTTTCTGTATGAACAGCTGAATTTTTCTTTATATATGCTTTTCTAGCTTCCATAACAAGTAAAGTAACGGTTCGGTATGTTCTTTCAACTGTTGAGTTCTAATGAATTTTACTCGATTATAAGCTAAGGTCCCTCTTCAGTGTAAAACGAGGTGGGGGAAATAACACAAGATTGTGTATTTAGTCTCTGTACTGTTGTGCATACTTTTAACAGTGTAATTTAGGTTACATTTAGTACTTTTGTCCTGTCAGTCTAAGACATATATATCAGAATATCAGAATTAAAATCTATTAGGAGTTATTTAGTGCTTTTCAGTCCACACAGTTGTGGTTTTTTTTTTTTTATAATAAAATCATCTTCAGAATCTCCTTGCTAAATAAGATGGCAGATAGGAAAAGTAATGGAGAAGGTTGGTGTTCAGCCCAGTGAGCCAGAATCTTTGATGCTTCCACTCTGCTTGTAGCATGTGGAAGCCATTCTTGTTCAACTTGAAAGCTTTAGTTAGATGTAATTTCACTTGATTTAATCTTAAATTTAGGTCTTGATTTCCACATTTCTGCTTAATCATTTGATCACTCTTCCACTCAAGTTTTTAAGTGATGAAATGAACTGAAAAGCTATCTTCAGCCTACACTCTTAGCATGAAGGAAGAAATTTTTTATGTAACGTCTAAAATTCAGGAGTTAGTACATTATTTCTCAGTTGTTAGTGTTGCATTGGAAGATGTTGCAGTTGAATGCATCTCCGTATACATAGTTTGAAAGCCAAACCAAGACTAAGTTGTTTGTAATTCTAAAAGGAGCAGTTAGGTTCGTCTGAAGCAGGGGGAAAAAATACCACTTTTAGGTTCTTGTTGCTGATTGGGGTCTTGGTGACTGACTCTTTAAATGGAGTTTTGTTTTAATTCTTTTTAATGTTCATGAATCAGTCCCAAATTTCTTTTATGCATCCGTGTTCAAGAATGGGAATAGAAAAACTTGGGTGGGTCATGCACAAGATGTCATAGTCACTGAAGTCTTGACAAAGAAGAATAAAACCCAGTGAATGGTAATTCTTTTGAGCAATGATGAAAAATTGTCCTTGGTCGCTGATGATAGAAGTATGCCCCTTTTTTATTAGTGCTACTCAGGTTTTTCAGGTGATTCTGCTGTTTCTTTACTAATCAAAGCAAGCAGGGAGATGTTCTGTACATTTAGGATGTGGTATTAATTGCATACTGGCGTTTTGTAAAACCCACGAGTCTTGAGGAAAGCAAATTTCATAGCAATGTGTTCATACTGTTGAATCCAACTTTAAGAACACTGTGACTGGCTGAAAAAAAAGAGGCCCAAATGCCCAGCTGGATAGACTTTCTTTCCTCTCCTTCTCCTAGTTATATTTATAAATATAACATTTATGCTTTGAAGAAAGTGGATCTACAGCATTATGAGAAGTATGCATTCTAAATGAAGTCTGTGGCTATGAATAGAAAAGCCTTGCGACTGAATTCATATTGGTCACAAAGTATTAAGAATATGGTATTTTGGAATATGGCTATATTTTTTTGAACTATTAAGACCTGCAGTCAACTGCTCTATTCCTTCAAAGCCCTGCCAGTCCTAAAAAAGTGACTTGTAGTCTGTCAGTGGAAACATTGGAACATACTAAACAGTGAGTAGTGCAGGATCTACCTGTATTTTGGTGTGACAGCAAGTGAAGCTCGCAAACAGGAGGGGACTTGCTGTTCCATTTAGCTTCTCGTTAAGTTTCAAGCCATACTCAGTCCAAACCCTGCAAGTTCATGCCAAAACTCTTCTGTCTGGTAGGAAATGTTTTATTTTTCATACAGTTAAGTGATGCATAGATTATTGAACAAATTTTTTTAATATCATTTGTAAATGCATTTTCTTGTATATATTTCTCTGTGTGTATAAATCATCAGGTATTTATTCTGTTTTAGAGGTGCAACAAAAACGAGGACTTCCACCCCTCCTAGCGTGGCAAGAACCATGAGCACGGGTGCTCTAACAAACAAAAGGAAAACTAGCAACTCGGACAGTTACTCAAGGTAGCTTTTAACTCTGTGTCAACAAGAGAACCTTCATTAAAGGGGAGTGCTTATTGTAGAATGGTTTGGGTTGGAAGGGACCTTAAAGACCACCCAGTTCCAACCCCCCTGCCATGGGCAGGGACACCTTCCAATAGACCAGGTTGCTCAAAGCCACATCCAGCCTGGCCTTGAACACTTCCAGGGATGGGGCATCCACAGCTTCTCTGGGCAACCTGTTCAGTGCCTCACCACACTCTCAGGGGAAAACTTCTTCCTGATATCTAATCTAAATCTCCCCACTTTCAATTTAAACCCGTTACCCCTTGTCCTGTCACTACAGGCTCTCTTTCTTACAAAAGAAGTTGGGGAAAGTATTGTTCACTGTGGTTAAGGATAATTCATGGTCAGTATTATTCAGCATGTTTAAGATACCTGGTATATTTTGTGTATTTATCATCAAACAGAACACCTTTGTCACCAGCTGTCTCAGACGTGTGCAGAAGACTGTTAGAAATGTCAAAAATCTTTTAGGAGCTGTTTTAAAAATAAGTGAATGGTCTTGCAAATGGGAAGTGAGGGCTTCATTTGAAATTGGATAAAGTTTGCGTGCTACGCACACAAATTGTCTGTTGTCTGTCCTTTTAAAGGACAGGATAAAAAATATCTTGCTGTTTTAGCCTTTCTTGTTTAGAGAAGTTTTAAGTTTTACAAACACTTCAGGAAATCTAACAAGCGAATCAAGTATTTGATCCTGCTCCTAAAATTCTGTTTTTTTTTTTTTGTTTTCCTGCTAGGAAGGTGGGTATGTGGAGATAAGTAGGGAAGTCTGGGTAGAGTTATAAGGTACACCACTAAATAAATAGGGAGTGTAAGCATGAAAATGACAGTAACAATAGCAGTAATTCACTGCAATGATTAGAATAATTTTGCATCAAGTTGTACTCAGCTGAGTTACAGAGAATGGTTTTTTTTCTGGGGATTTTCAGGTCTGATGGTAAAATTGGGTATAACAGTGGAGATTGCTCATCCTCGGTCAATGGAGGAAGTTCCAAAAGCAGCGAAGGAAATTCACCTGTACATTTATCAAAGTTCTGCCACGAATGTGGAACAAAGTATCCCGTGGAATGGGCGAAGTTTTGCTGTGAGTGTGGAATTCGAAGAATGGTTGTGTGAACGCATTCTTAAAAGCATAAAGAAGATGAGAAATCGGAAGCATCTGCTATGTACTGCTGCATGGAAAGCTAGAGCACTCCTTCCAGTTAGACTTCATGCTGCACACACGTTGAAACATCCTATTGTAATTTTCTGAGTGCAATCTTCTGGTTATACAGCTATTTATAAACAAATATATATACTGTATATAAAAATAGCAGGTACCTAAAACTGTGCCATTCAAGGAAATACTCTTTAATGTCTGTTGGAAATATTTAAAACTAAGGTAAAAATGTGTTAAGTAACTTAGGTAGCAGAAGTGGTTCAATGTTATTTTCCTTGTAAATCTTACCAGGTAAAGGATGATTTAAATCACTTATGTAGGATAACACTTACCCATAAGGAACTAGCCATGAAGAACTTGGGCTTGAAAGTTTCTCTGTGGAGGTATTTCCTTCATATGTGACAGTAACTTAGGTGCTAATTTCTAAGTGAAAACATGAAACCAACATGAGAACCTCCTTAATTCCTAGTTAAAAGTGCATAAATTTGACATCCCTTTGAACTGTTTAACAGTAATATCCTAACTGGACTTTCCAGTCCCTTCCTAGGATTTTTCAGAGAATGAAAGTGGGAAAACTACCCGAGAGTTCTGTGCACGTAGAAGAAGAAAACAAGTTTTTTGTTTGTGGCTTTCCATGTTCTCTTTTCCAATAAGAATGTGTTAATAATTTTACCTATTTATAAGGACAAATATGGTATCATTTTATTAAGTTCTTTTTGTTCAGAATTACCTGTCTTCCTCCTCCTGTGCTCCACCATGACTAGCACATCTAAAAGTTTTGTGCTTTTTGGCTTTAAAGGTTCCCAAAGGTCCTGCTCCTTTTTTCTCTTCCCTCATTTCCTGAAGGAGAGACAAAGTCTATGCTTATCCTGCCTAAATGTTGAACTCTTCTTTGGAAAAGAGCTTTCCTGATGTATCCAATACAAGAGTTCCATAAAAATGTGTGTTATTAGAGCAGTAGAACTTGATGTAAGTAATGACTTTTTAAATTCTTATACCTGTTTCAATAGCACAGCCTACACATGAGTGCATAATGGAGTAACTGTGCCCCTTAGGTTTATGTGTTAACACCTGACGTGTGTGTTCGGTTGTGTGTCGTCTTGGGCTCTGAACAGCAACCTCTTGAACTTAGTTACAGACTTCGCATTGATTCCTTGGGAAGAAGGGTCAGGCCCTGGAAGTAGATGTTGGTGTTGGTTTGGTTGGTTGGTGTTTTTTCTATATATTATAAAGGACATTAAGACCACTCACAAGCCAAATCACTTAACTTGTATCTGAATGTAATAACTTGTTTTGTGAAGTTTTGGGTTGATGTACTGGCACCATCTTAGTTACGCGTGAAAGAACAATCTGAAGTAATTGTGCCTTTCTCTACAATAAATACACTATTTTTGTCAGAAATGGTTACTTTCAGCTCACAAATACCATTAGTATCAATTTCTATCATTTCTTTGTAGCTTATGCAAAATACCATGTAGCGTGCCATTACAGCATTATGATCGCTGTTTGCATTCTCAAAATTTGCGATTACTATCAGTGGGGCCAATTTCGAAGAAAAAAGCATGGTTGAAGGAAAGCATCTCCAGAGCAGGTACCAGTCTTAGAGGATGAGAGATTTAAGAGACTTGATGTTGCAGGCCACATACTATTGATGTTTTAGAATTAATTTAGTGGTGTGGAATTGTCTTACACTTATTGTACAAAATTATTTTTAGAAATTATCCTTCAGTGTATTATTTTATTATAATTTGCATAAGCTGTCTACTGAGCATGGTAGGATGGATGACTGGTAATGATAGTTAGAACTGACAGATCTTAGCTAAATTGTGTTTTAGGTAGTTTAGCTTCTAGGACCCATATTTTGGCACATTCATATCTGTACTTGGAAAAACTGGAATCCTGCACCCTTTGCATAGATAAGCTTGCTTTCCAAAACTTGTGGTGGACTTGGGCTAGGGAAGTCTGCAGATTGAATTATTGCAAGGTGTCTGTCCATCAGCAAAGATACAAGTCCAGAATAGGTTTGATCAGTTAATGAATCTACTGAGGAATAAATTCCTTTGTCTGACTTGATGACTTTCCAGTTCTTGTTTCTGCTGGAATAGTGCATTTTAGCATTTACTGAAAATGCTTTCTACAACAGGGAAGTTCAGTCAGGAAATAAATACCTTCCAGGTTTTCCAGGATTCCTGTAACTGTAGAAAAAAAAATATTGACTGCTTCTCCTTTGAATCGTAGGTGGCAGGTTTCCTAGTTACAAATCAGTCCGTATACAGTTACCATAAATTCTGCTTTTTGATCTGTTTGTGTAACTCTTTCCTTCCGAAGAAGCATTTAGTAAAGTTTTTGAGTGACGCATCATTTATTTTATTTACACTACTGTGATTTATAGCACGGCCTAGATGGGGTATTAACCTGAACTGAAAGAAGAATTTTAGAAAGTTTTCCTGACCTTTTAATTTGGCCTTACAAAAAGGTCCAGTGAAACATAAATGACTGTTCATAGCAACTTTAGATAATGTGTATATGTTTGAATCTACAATAACTATAAGCAGACAATGAAAATATATGACTGTGCCGTTTACTACCATAGAGTGAGACTGTCAGAGGCCTAATATGTTTCCACTTCATCAGCTGGTTTTGTTACTGAAGGACGCTGGTTTCTGAAGTGTCTGGTTGTGCTGCGTTCGGAGTTAAACCACGACACTGGTGTTACAGACCATAGACTGTATTACACAAGTTACCAACACCAGTTGCTGTAATTCTATCTCAATGAAATATTTGATAGGAAATAGAATTGTTTTCCTAATGCCCCCGCAGAACTGAATACAGGAAACAAATTTGTGTATATTTAAAATAAGAATAAACTGTTACAGGAGATGGACTCTGAATTTTGAATCTTTAGGTACGTTACATGTATCAGGAAGCTCCTGAAAATGATTTATTAACGACCTAGGTCCAAACCCCTTTGCCCTAGCCCTCCCCCCTGCCTTTATGCCTTGGTTTTCATGGGAAGAAAACACATAGATACTTACACTGAAAGGGGAGTGTTCCAAAAAGTCTCAAGAATCAAAATATTGATAATTGAGAAGATAAAACCCCTAAATTAATTATGCACTGCTGATGCACTTCACTGATGAGTGTAAACTTGTCTAGTGTCATCCTCTGGATGCCTTCTTGACAGAAATTTAGCTTAAAAGCCTAAATTCCTTACAGTTCATGTGTAAAATTAGGATGATATGGTTACCATATTTAGCATCTGTCTTTCCAGTTCTCTGTGTGTATATATGTATAGGATGCACGCATGAGCACGCACGTATTTTGTGAGAACTCGTAAGTTATAGAAATGTAAGACGTTGTTTGCTGAAGCAGAATTGAGACAAAACAGGACGACGCTACTGGGCGATTGTGAAGCCTCAGACTGTGGGCTAATGTAGTTACTGTCCATTTAAAGTTAAATTTATTGACGTGATTGTCTTAATGATTTCTATACCAATGTCTGACCCTATGACAGACTTTCTGTCTGCCCCTGTACCATCCTGATGTGCTTGCCAAGGTACTTCCTTCTATTCAATTAAAAAAACCCGAATAAAATTAAAGGTGAACTTCCATGCAAAGAAACAAGGAAAAGGCTGGGTTTGAAGTCTGGCCTGAGGGTGTTTGCATTCCTGTTTGGGGTTTGTGAATATCTGTTACACCAGGAGCACCTCTCTGCCAGTAAGGAGTGTGGGATCATTGGAACTGTGCTGATAGGAGTGCGGCGGAGTGATGAAGAATACCAGCTTTAATAGTAGAAACAACAACATAGAATAAGGCTTAATCTTTATATGATGTATCTTACACAGGTTTATATTTATGCATGATACTTGCACCCTAGGTAGTTTCAGACCTGGAATCTCTAAATATACAGCAACTTAAGTATATGGTTATATGAATTGTTAGCCAGGGAATTGGGCATGGAGAGGTGATTTGCCAAAATTTCACCTTTGTGCCTATGAGATGAACATTTAGGCAGATTTTTTCATGTTTTCCAAGGAGACTCGAGGAGCCATTGAGCACCCTGAAGGGCCTTGGAAAGCTCAGCCTGAAGGGTTGCTGGGTGAGGAGATGGTGGTGTGGGGGAGCTCTCCATGGTGCTCTGCTCCCAGAACCTGCCAGAGGCTGCTCGAGCTCTTCCATGTGTGCCGCAGGTAGCAAGCTTCACAGGCTAGTAACTCCCAAAATGTGTTTTAAAACCTGCCTCAGTCTTCAGGCACCGCGGAATTCCTGTCATCGGTGAGAGGCTAGCTCTGAATTCATCACTGCGACTGAGAGTTAGTGCCTGAAATGCAGAGTGCAGTTTCATGATGCACGCTTATCCTAATCTGTGGGAGGAGGTGTGACTGCAGTAGTTAAAAAGCTAATAACAAAGGCACGTAGCAGCACACGCTGATGTAGGCTGTGTAATTATTCTGAGTGTAAAATGAAATGGTATTGTTGATGTATTGCAAAGTTCTTAAGAAGTGCTGATCACACAGAAGTTGTATATGTGCAGAGAACAAACGTGCTACAAGTTTTTTTTTTAATCTGGACTGACAAACTTTTGTTTTGTAAGAGTACTTTTTGCAACTTTAATTCTGTTCAGTTTGACTAAGCTGTCGGGGTTGTATGACAGGGTGAAATTTTCATCTTTGGTGAAATTGTTTTTGGTGACTGGTGGAAATAGTTTTGTTGCCTTTCAAGTACAGGTCATTCTAACTTGTGATGGTTTTGTTGGGGTTTTTAATGAAGTTTTTGTTCTTATTTTTGTGTTGGCTCCCCCCCCCCAAATCACTGAATAATGTTTGAGGTACCTAATTGTGTTGTTGGAAGAAATATTAGGTAAAAGATTCTCTAGCTGTATTCAAAAGCTACTTGGTTGATATTTTCTTTCCAATATTCACAATATAAGAAACTACTTTTGTATACTAGTTTGGTA